ATATATATATATATAGGCATTTTAAGCTTGTACTTGTACTACTATTTGTACTTTGCAGTTTTTCACTTATCGCTGGGCTTCAGGGTATGGATCCCCAGCGATACACAAGGGACTACTGTAATTAAATTATGTGTAACTTACTGAAACAAATTTGTCAAAAGCAATGAGTGCCCAGCTGGGAGGAAATGTTCATATTTATCAGTAAATTCAGGTTATAACCGTCAGACAGACCTTTATTGTATCTATAAAAACTGCAACTTCTTTTTTAATCTGGTGTTTTTATATTCACCTTGACAGTCAAAGGTGGAAAAGCAACAAATCCTAGGACACCTTGGTTTCTCTGTAGAGTATTAAGAGTGTTTGACCTCATAGGGTGATAGAAAACCAATCCAGGCTAAATCACTTGTAGCGCAATTGTTTTCCTCCCAGAATGCTCCCCAGGTGGCGTTTACCGGCTGCGTGCTCGTTTATTAATATCTGTATATGTTGGCTCTGGGATTCCATCAGACCTCATCGTTAATGTCAACTAAATTATCTGTGAGGGATAGCTGTGATAAACCAGATTTAACGCACGCAAACTTGGCAGGACCAGTTTAAAAACGGGATAAAACGGACACTTTTTGAGCTGTCGCAACCTGTAAGAGTTTACATACAACACAACTTTAGTGAAGTTGGTTAAAATTAATAGATGTAAACGACGTTTGAGATAAACGCCGAGAGCGATTTTTATAGTTATTCAAAGTGAATTAAAAAATTTATTATAAAGATCCGAAATGTTAGTCACCTGGTTTTTAATTTAACCCTAACACATTTGAGTGTTTAGTGCTTGCTTTGTAGACATTCAGGTAAATGATGCAGGGTTTATTTATGATTCTGTGCAGAAGATTTTTCTATATTAAACAAAAAAGTTGCCCCAGCTCTGACTTCTGAATTGTTCAGACCTGAAAGGTTTCCTAAAATCCAGACGTTAACCAGTACTGTGTTGATAGAAATGATCAAACAACCTTTGTTAAAATAGATATTTTGTGAGAAATTAGCTCAGGTGCTACACAGTTAAATAGTATTTTAGTTGATACCTATTAACTACGATACAGTCAGTATGGAAAATACCACAAATATCACAGTTCTATAGAGATAATGTATGTTAGCTAAACTTAACCTAAACTTACGAGAACATTGAACCAGTATTGTCGAAACTTTACAGACAAGCTATCAGAGAACAATTTTTTAATAAAACAAACTTATCAATGGACAGGTCTTTAGCTTGCAAACTAAATTAACTATGGAACTAGCTAACTAGCTAGTTAGTAAGTTTGATTCTAGTAGCATGTTACAAAGACGCACTTCCGTTTCTTTACATACATTTATAGAAAATAGTAAATAAATCACAGTTTGACAGCAAAAATACCCATTAGCTTAAGTAAACTGGATTTTTGATGCACAACAGACCAGTCACCAAATGATTTTTCTTTAAGAACAGTTGACTCTTTAAAAGAAAACTAGCTAAAATACTAGATAACTGGTTAGCAATGAATTTTAATACTAGCATCCTGTCACTGAGACAATTTATCTAATTTATTTTGTTATACATATAAAGAATGCTAAACATAACAAATATTGATTCTTAAAATAACATTTTAGCTCCAATAAGGTGATTTCCAAAGGATTTTAAAGTTTTATTTTGGAACAACACGACTCTCATGTATTTATTTAGTTTCTTGTGTTGTCCTCCACTGATTCACTTTATTTATTTTAAGTACAAACTGTTTGCTGTCCTGGTCAGGTGCAAGGACTCAACAAAAAAATATAAAAATTAAAAGGAACAACCCGATCGCAGACTTTCAGACAACCGTCAGAACTAAAACAACTTTAAAATATTGTAAGAAAAATATAAATATTGTTTTAGTGAGAGTTAGTAGGAGAGATCATATCTCTCCAGTTTAAACTTCTCTCCATTGGCTCCCTGTCAAATCCAGAGTGGAATTCAAAATCTTACCTACAAAGACCTCAACAACCTATATCCATCTTATATTACAGATCTTATTGTTCCATATTTTCCTAACAGAGCACTTCACTCTCAGACTGCAGGCTTACTCGTGGTTCCTAGAGTTTCCAAGAGCAGAACGGGAGGAAGATCTTTCAGTTCTCGGGCTCCTCTCTTGTGGAACCAACGTCCAGTTTCTGTCCGTGAGGCTGACACATTGTCCAGTTTTAAGACCGGGCTGAAGACTTTCCTTTTTGATAAATCCTATAGCTAGGGTCGGCTTGTTATGCTGCTATAGGTTTAGACTACTGGAGGACAAACTGACCTCATTTCTTAAAAATGAATCGTTACAATTGAATAGTTTTCATTTGATACTATTTCCAGTGTTTCTCCTACCATTATACAAGCGCGGTGCCCCACCCCATCAACAGAACTGAGCACCCCGCCTACCAAACCGAACCCCCCCCCCACCCCCAACCCGGCACTGATATAGCACGAAGCTAGCGGCGCGAAATACAGACTCACTAGCTAAAATACTAAAGGCAGTGCTCACGTTGCCTTTTCTGTCAAGCTGAACACCCCTCCACCCCAATACAGGCGCTCTAGCTAAAAAGCTAAAGGCACCGTTTCCCTCATGCTGAACCACCCCACCCCCCACGCCCCGCTCTAAAACTGTTGGTACAAGCTGCACTCAGACATGACTCCACCCCCCATCAACAAAATCATGAGATGAGCACCTCGCCATGGCAAGTTGACTAGGGGAAACACTGATTTCTATCTTAACATGTGATTCTCAACCTGCCATTGTGTATCTGTTCCTCTCAAACCCAGCCGGGCGAAGCAGATGGTCCACTTGTCCTGAGCTGGTTCTGCTAAAGGTTTCTTCCTCATGCGGGAGTTTTTCCTTTCCACTGTCGCCTTCATGCTTGCTCAAGATGAGAGTTCTGTGATGGAGTTAAACTCAAATCAGTCTGCTCCTCAGATAAATAATGTTAAATTATTATTTTTATATACGAATGTTTCTGTTCAGTGCCCTGATAAAAGTTAAGATAGAACTTTATCGATCCCGCAGGAAATCGTTGTGCCAGAGTTTCAGTACTAAGGAACATACTCAAATAATCACAAGATATAAAAAAAAAAACATAGAATTCAAAAAAACAATTAAGTTCTAAACAGGCGCAGACAGAAACATGAAAGAGTTTATTGTAGTACAGGATTAATTGTATTGTCTCGTGTGCAGAAAGGGGAGATGAGTTCTGTTGTGACGTGGAGCTGTGTAAATGAATTGAATTGTAAGAAAGTCCAAACATCTGGAGGCAAAGCACTTAGGAATTAGGAGCGGTTAAGACTTCTTGCACAGTTCTGTTCTTCAATAGAATGTCCAGATAGTCCTAACGCGTCCACTTCACATTTTTGCTTTAGTCTTCTTTAGTCTTAGCCTAATTACCCAGAGGAAGCTAAAAAGGAGCTGCAGCCACCACAAACATCTAAACAACAATAAAAACAAGTCAAACTTGTGCCCAGACTAATGTTTGTGTTAGGACAGATGTTCCCCCTGACCCCGCCCCCTTGTTCTCACCGTCTAATAATAAAGGTCAGTCAGAAGTCCTCACCATCATATTCTGGTTTTATTTGTTGTGCTTCAGCCGTGAACTGAACCTTTACGCTGACGAGCCCTTGTCCTTTCTGCCTTCCTTTCCAGTTTGCGGAGACATCCACGGCCAGTTCTTCGACCTCATGAAGCTGTTTGAAGTGGGAGGATCGCCGGCGTCCACGCGCTACCTTTTCCTGGGGGACTACGTTGACAGAGGGTATTTCAGTATTGAAGTGAGTGCGCGCGCTTGTTATCGTCCTCCCGTGGCCCTAATCGAACGTGACGCACGGCGTGCGCTCGTGACCGGAGCTGGGTTTATTAATAGCTTTTCTCCGAGCGTGGATGGAATGGGGCTGCAGATATTGCCGTGATAAACCGCTTTTCTGGTCGTTTCCAACGTCGTCTGGACTGAATGTCAGCGAGGCTGAGGAATCTTTTAATGTTGTCCAAAACACTCATAAAACACGGGAACTAGTTCATATAGTTCTTGCCAGCTCGTCACTCGGATTGTTAGACTTTTATATGTAAAACATATTTTAAGGAATATGTCATTCCCGTCCTCAGATGTTTTATTTGACCGTCGTCTCCAACTTCAGAGCTCTAAATGATTCACTAAATGTTCCCCACGACTGTTTTAATACAGGAAGTTCCTGAAATAAACCGTTTCATGAAAGCGGTTCTTTTATGGGTTTTGTTCGTCGCCATCTTTAAATTTCTTCTTGTGATTTTCTTTGTTTCAGTGTGTGCTGTACTTGTGGGCCTTAAAGATCCTTTACCCCAAAACACTGTTTTTGCTGCGCGGGAACCACGAATGCCGACATTTAACCGAGTATTTCACATTTAAGCAGGAATGTAAGTATTTTATTTTATTTTTTTTTACAATTTTTACATTTAATTCAATAGTGTCTTTAAATTAGAAGTAGGTTTTGTGTAGTTTTTGTGTAGTCACATTAGATGGCAAACAAAAGGATTTAGGTTTAGAGCAGGGGTGTTCAATCCTGGTCCTCGAGGGCCACTGTCCTGCATGTTTTAGATGTTTTTCTGCTCCAACACATCTGCTTTGAGTCGGTGATTGACAGTCTTCTGCAGAACATTTAAGAGGTGATTCAACCATTGAATCAGGTGTTTCAGAGCAGGAGCGCTTGTAAAACATGGAGGGTAGTGGCCCTAAGGACCAGGATTGAGGCTGGTACTTCACCTTGTTACTAGCTAAAATTCCAGTTTTTAATCGGTTCATTACTAACAAAGAGTGGCTCATCCCTTGAGTTTAGGAGACTTTTTTTTGCCTGAATGAATCCTACGTCACAGTTATGTGGTTTAACAAACAAAATGCTTCTAAATGGTGAAGTCCTTGACTTAAGAGAGTTAAAAAGAGCCACAGGTCAAACAAATAAATCCCATTTTTGAACTATTTATCATGTTTTCTAATTATTCTGATCAAGACAAAGCATAACAAAGTGAGACGTCATTTAAGACTTCAGTAAAGTCTTGTAAATATAGATAGGTCTGATCCTCCCTAACAGTTAGCTTGACTCTTTTATGCAAATTTTGTACCTTTTCCCCAATAAAAATCACTCTGTCTTCTGTCTACAGCAGGTAAGATACTGCCTCCTTGTAACAGCTCAGCACGACTACACTTCCTAAGCTCAGAACTCTGTTTAAAGTCTTTTCTTTCTAAAAATCTGTTTTAAAGTGTCTCCATTTCAACCATCAACCTCCAGTGTTAGCTTAAAATCACTCTTCGGTTTTCACCTTAATATTTACTGACGTCAGGTCTGGTTCTGTTTGACTCGGGCAGAAAAGAGGAAAAATAAAAGCTAAAGTGAACCGTAACATGCTGTTCTTTTTAATGTCTTTGGCAAGTTTATTGGCAGCATTTAAAGACCAAAAACATTGCCCCAGTATATGAGAGCAGCTTTGTTTGACTTGGCTTGTTGTTTTTTCTTCTCTTTGCCTCGTTTCCCCACCATGACAGGTAGAATTAAGTATTCGGAGCGGGTGTATGACGCGTGTATGGACGCCTTCGACTGCCTTCCTCTGGCCGCGCTCATGAACCAGCAGTTCCTGTGCGTGCACGGGGGACTATCTCCAGAAATCACAAATCTCGACGACATCAGGAAAGTACGTGTCTCGTCATTTTCACAATTATTTCATAATATGCTGCCAGTATGAGTCACAACGAGGAACTCCTCAATTATTATTGTTTTACAATTCTCAATAGCTTCAAGATCATGCGTAGTTTTAGTTTTAATTTTGGATATTTATCACCTGGCAACAAGCTAGTTTTGTTTAGGAATGCCAGTTTGAAAATCTCTTCTTTTTTTTTTTTTGGTCTGGAGTGACGTCATCAGGAATTCCAGTTTTATATTTTAAAAATAGGAATCGCCGTACGTTATAAGAAGGGGATTTACAGTAGAGAAAATTGTCAACTTGAATGAACATTAAAACAACTAGAAAAACTGCATTTCCTGAGAAAATGCAACGTGAATGCTTAGCTGAAAAAAACAGCTAAAAATAGCTTTAAAAAAATCTGAAACATAGCTGAAGTGGATGAACTGGCTTACATTAGCAGAAGAGAGCAGAAAGAACACATATTTGCTGAATTTAAATAAGAAGAAAGGAACACAAAGATATCGGCTAAAATGCTGAAATTAGCAACAACAAAACAAAACAAAAATAGCTGAAAGTAGCTGTAAAGGCAGAAAGAATCTTCAACAACTAGAAGGAAGCAGAAGGAGCTGAAAAGAGCTCCAAATATGTAGAATTGGCTGAAAAAGCTAAATTAACATAAAAACGGCTAAATAGTAGCTGAAATAGCATAAAAAGCTAAAACTAGCAGAAATAAGCTGAAACGAGCATAACAAGCTAAAATTAGAAGAAAGAATTTAATTAGGCTGAAAGTAGCAGAGATTACCATGAAAAACTTGGATTTATCTGAAACAGCTCAAATGAACTACAACACTAGCTGAAAAGGTAGAACAAGCTTAAATTAGCAGAAGAAAGCAGAAAGTCACATGTTTGCCCAATTAGGCTGAAAGAAGCAGAAATGAGCACAAAACAGTGAAAAGTAGCTAAAAAGGCAGAAAGATGCTGAAATTACAAGAAGGATGTGGACAGAGAGCACAT